AGCTGACTTGGGAACTCTCCCTTGTAAGTAAGTAATTAAAGAAGTACCCTCGAGTCATTTGTAACTTAATATTTGAGACTGCACACTAGGCCCTATTAGCGACGGCCCCTTATTAATAACTTTCCAGTGAAACATTTTCTAGCTTAACAAAGTGTAGAAATGTGTGTTCTATTGACTAAACGTAATCAAGAAAAACAAAAGAGACAAGGAAACAAGCAGAATCACTAAAATGAGCAGTATATAGTTTTGCTGTTCGTCAGATAACGTGTTTAGTGTGCACTAAGCATATTAAGTTAGGAATGACTCGACGATACGTGATTTTATAAGATCTGAAAAAGTGCGCATCTCTGTCAGCGATAAAAGTGGAGAGTTCGTCATCATACCCCAGGAATTGGATCAAGAAATCACCAAACTCCAACTCAATGACAAGAGTATGTACGGGCGCGTTTTCGAAAATGAACATCATTTGCAGTACAAGCTGCTTGAATCACGTTTGGATGAGCATGGAAAAGCAGCTGGCCTCAACGAGAGCTTTCTTGCCATACTTAAGTTAGACACGCCAATATGTCCGGTTTTCTGTAGCCTTGTAAAGACTCACAAGTTTACAGAAAGTGGCGACATTCGCTTGATGGCAGCTAGACAGTTTCAGATAAGACCTATAATAAGTTGTGTTGGAGGCCCAACCGACAGAATATCTTGATTTCTGAATAATTGTAGGGCACTCACTAAACAAATTACCTTCCCATTTAGCAAACATTAAACAATTCCTCGATCGCTTGAAATCTTCCAGATTTGAAAATGGATGTGTTGCTGAATCATTTAACAATATGTCTCTATATACCAACGTTCAAAATGAAGACGCTCTACAAGCGGTATCCGAAAATGATGGATGAGTTTAGCGCAAGCATTCGAACTTTTGGATTGAGCAAACATCGCGTCATGGACCTGATCAAAGAGTGCCTAACTTGTAACATTTTCAGATGGTCAGGCACATACTTCGCTCAGCAAAGGGGACTCGCAATGGGCTTGCTCCAGTTCTTGCGATATGCTTTATGAGTAGGATCGAAAAACCGGTGTTGTCAAGACTTCCACTTATGTATTGTCGTTATGTGGACGACTGTGCATAGTGACATCCACTCAGTCCGAAATGGACGAATGTTTTCGATTACTCAATCGGCAGTCGCAGTACACGCGTGAACAGTCGGTTACTGGTTGATCCCATACTTAAACGTTCAAAATCAAACTATCTGGCTGCGACACTCATGTAAAATGGTATGGTAAAAATAGTTTTAAGAATATCTTATTACATGACCGTTTGACACATCCATCAGCCGTCAACAATGCCATTGTCTGGAATATGTTTAGAACAGCAACACAAGTCTGTACGGGGAGAGAAAGAGCAGAAAGCGTCGCAAAATGTTGCACTGAGCATTGCAAAGAAACGGCTATTTGATGCATGACGCTTGCGGTAGGCCATTCCCTTTACGTAATACTGCTCAAAGTAACAACGAAATAGCGGCCTGTCTTCCTTTCGTTTCGGATGACATTAGCTTGTAATACGGCAGAGCATTGAACGAGCAAAACTGAGCGAAGATGTCATTTTAATGAACATTCCGAGCGACAATCTCAAAAGGCGACTTGTATGAGACAGGCTTTATGACAATACTGCATCTCGAAAGAGTGCGTAGTTTGTCCACATAGCAGCATTGGTGATTGCGCGAAAGCAGGGGTAATTCATCAGATAGAATGTTTAGTCTGTGGTGCTAGCTGTACAGAAGAAACCAGAAGAGCACTTGGCGTAAGAGTTAAGGAACACTTTTCCAATAAACGAAAAGGTAGTGTAGTTTCACCGCTCGTTAAACATGAACATAATTACCACCGCGATCAAGACTACGAAATATGTACAATTTTGGCTTACGAAAAAGATACGTCTGCGGAGAAAGCTTTCGAAGCGTTTCGGATCACACGCAGAAAACCGCTTATGAACAACAGAAACAAGTGCCTAGCCGTTACGAAAGACTTCATGCCAATTTTATCACTGTGTGAGGTGACAGAGTAGTGCGAAGATTACAACTACAATGAGCTTTTCAGTGTGACTCATTGGCACTACTGCCACTAAGGAAGCGGTCGCACTATACCATCAAGTGACCGGCGGTGGAGCAAAAGTGTATTCGTCTTCTCCCACCTAGCGACTTTTGTTCTTAAAACTCGAGAGGGGATCGAGATGCTAACTGAGGGTTGACGAAGCACTTGGTGGGGAAGATATAAGATCATTAGTCTCGCACCACTTTAGGCCTTTGAAGACGACGAGTTCGAAACGCGTTAGGCCACTGATGTAATAAATAGCTTAACCCAAACCTCTGCTCAAATAATCGCCGGGGGCAGGCGGTCCGCAAACTTGCGCCTTTCTGCAAGCGGTCAGCAGGATTTTGGGGCGTTAAACCTTTAGCGAGCGGTACTTTCTTTACTGTGTAATCTTCTGCCAGCGAGCAGCAGAGTTTTCTGCAGGCGCTCGTCAAATAATCTCTTTCAGCAAACGCTCAGATAATCGCCGGGGACAGGCGGTCCGCAAACTCGCGTTTTTCTGCAGGCGGTCAGCAGAATTTTGGGGCGTGGCCAAACCTTCTGCGGGCGGCACCTCCTTTACTGTCTAATGTTCTACCAGCGGGCAGCAACACAGAATTTTCTGCAGGCGCTTGTCGAATAATCTGTTTCAGCGAGCGCTGGTCAAATTTTCAGCTGGCGCTCGGACGGTTTTTAAGCAGTTTCGGGCGTACGCTGAGCAAAGTTGAGACTCTACATGGCAGAGGTGTCATCGATGGTTTAATTACTCAAGTTTAAGGTACTTTCTCTCAGCGGAAAGAACCTGGGGGCTGCGCGGTCCTCCACAAAGAACCGTGCGGCCCCCGAAAATTTTGCATATTCTCGCGGAAAGTCCGCGAGAATGCGGCCACTGCGCCGCAGCTAATCTGTAAGGAAACCGTGATTGTTCTCCAAGCATTCGTCCAAAATTTCGCTAAAATTCTTCCAAATACCTGCAAGCGGACCGCAAGAAATCAACGAACTATTTTTCCGGTGCCCGCTTGCTCAAAATTCGCATGACCGCCTGCCCCCGGCGATTACCTGAGCGGTGGCCGAACCTTCGGCAGGCGCTCGGACACTTTTCATGCAGTTTCGGCATAGTCGAGCACAGATAAGACTCTAAGTGGCAGAGGTGTCACCGTTGGTTTAATTACTTAAGTTTGAGGTACTTTATCTTAGCGGAAAGTAGCTGGGGGCTACGCGGTCCTCCACAAAAAACCGTGCGGCCCTCGAAAATTTTGCGTATGCTCGCGGAAAGTCGGCGAGAAGGCGGCCACTGCGCCGCAGCTAATCTATAAGGAAACAGTAATTGTTCTCCAAGCATTCGTCTGAAATTCGTCTGCTAAAATTCTTCCAAATATCTGTAAGCGGACCGCAAGAAATCAGTGAACTATTTTTCCGGTGCCCGCCCGCCTATAAATCGCATGGCCGCCTGCCCACGGCGATTATCTGAGTACTCAAGTTTGAGGTACCTTCTTTCAGCGGAAGGTGCTTGCGTGCTGTGCGGTCCTTCGCAAAGGACCGTGCGGCCTTCAATATTTTTGCATGTTCTCGCGGAAAGTCCGCGAGAATGCGGCCATTGGGCCGCAAGTTATCCATAGAAAGATGCAATAGTTCTCCGAGCGTTCGTCTAAAATTCGGCCAAAATTATTCCAACTTTCCGCAAGCGGACCACAAGAAATCAGCGAACAATTTTTTCGGTGCCCGCTTGCTCAAAATTCGCATGGCCGCCTGCCCCCGGCGAAACTGAGTATGCATGTGATAATATGGCTAATACACACAGAATTACGATCATGTATTTGTATCCTTTGTAGGTGCTCCATTTCTCGAGAAACGCTGATGTTTAGGGTAAAAACGGTAAAAAATTATGAGACACCCTAATATATTTTCTGAAAGTTGAGGATGGACGGTTCCATTGGTGACCACCTCGGCGTAAAAGATTTTCATCTACGAAAGTTATGAATTTTTTATGTTACAAACTCGAAAATCTCCACAAATCACTGAGCCCACCCTTCACCCAAGCAGTTTTTTGGATGCATCTCAGCCATACTATATATCATCTGAAAACGGAGGACGAGCGGTTTTGACGGTCACTATGTACCAGCTATTCGTGCACAGAATATATGGGTTTTTTAATGTTAAAAACTGGGTGTCCAGAAATCACTAAGCACACCTTTTATTAGGTACTTCTATGAACAGATTTTAGGCAAACCAATTTTTTCCTGGAACCAGATGGGAACGTTGCACCACGGAACTTTCCTCGCTGACTTGCTGTGCAGCCACAGAAGCTACTATTTTTTTCCTCATGGAAATTGGTAAATGCCAATAATTTTTCTTCCTCCTTACCGACGCACAAACAATTCCCGTACAAATATCTCCTTTGCCTAACCCTACCTCACTGTTGATTTTTTCTCGGTTTTTGGAGAAGAAACTCACCTTCCGGCTCAGGGGTGAAGGAGCGTGAGCAAATCCTCACACTATCGCACCATCTATGGATTAAATCAGACCTTGTAAAGTTGTAAAGTTCACTTGAGGATTGGGTCAACTGTGCGGAGTACAGGACGTACGTAGCGTACACCCATTTACATAAAGATATGGGGCATACGCCGCGCCGTCTGGTTCAACCCTTAACTGACGAAATGGAGTGTATGAATACTTCGAATGTTCTTTGTTCTAGTGTTCTTTGAACGTGCTTTTCTAATGCTTGTTAGATAGAAAAACATACAGGCGACATTGTTGTCCAATGATTGCTATTCGAAGTGTTACGTCTTGAGAGTAGCTTTTACAATTCCTTAAGCTTCGAAAGCGTATCTTCATAAAGAGTACCACGTACTCCGCACTTTGGATCTCCGCTACACCCATCATATGCGAATAGCACTCTTAATTTGCGAATGAGACCGAGAACTGGTACAACTTACTCTTGTTCTGTGCCACAGAAAAACAGTAACTTGTTGGCGCCATAGGCAACACATTGACCATCCACTCTGATGCATGCAAAGTTCCGCGTGCTAGGCCTAATGAGCTGGAAAAGATGATCGCGTTAAGTATTTAGTAAAGATCAGAAAATGCTTACATGCGAGTATTCCCACAGCTCATACCAATCATCGCAGTTTTCATCATAGAAGTAAACGGCTTCGCTCGTAATGTTTGTCGGTGCTTTGTTTTCTACTTTTGCGAGACATTCTTTGATGTATGCGAAAAAGTTTTCGAAACTTCTGAAATTTGCGTTACTCGTCGCAAAATCCTTGTATTTCGATAACAGAGATAACAGGGATATATCAGGCTGTTGTACGCTTTTCTTCAAGCGTAAAATTTTCAGCAAAAAACCATTCTGTATAGCATCACCAAATTGCGATAAAATAAAACAGAAACAGTACTCACTCGGTGTCATATGTAAACCAAAAAAAATTGCCTTCATAATCAAAATCGTTGCACGCTTTAGGAGTCATCTCAATCAATTTCTCTTCCATTTCGCAATCCCATTGCTGAAACCACCCACATATAAATTAGTCAAAACGAGTTTTACGTGGCGAATATCGAATATCGATTGTAACATTTCAAACACAATTAGTACATATTATTAAAAAAAAATTTTGGAGTTGAAAAATCTTAGGGAACGGCCATAGGTTCGCAGTGTTAGCGGTGTTCGTGTTGTTTGTAGTGTTCGCGGTGTTCGCGGTGTGCGCAATGTTCGCGGTGTTCGCGGTTGTCGGTGACAATGACAAACGCGACACGCGCTCATTTGAGCGGCGCATAGACTGTGAGGGAATCACAGGAATCGCAGGAATAGCAGGAACCATCTGGAATAGTATGGCCGATCTCGACAATACCGACAACACCGCGAACACCACGAACACCACGAACACCACGAACACTGCGAACACTGCGAACCTATGGCCGTTCCCTTAGGTGTGCTACTGCATGGCTTAAACCTATGTTTAAATGGTAATCAAAGTGAGAAAATTTCAAAAAATTTTTGGCAAAGAATTTGAGCCAACAACTAATTTCTTCCCCCCCCCCTCCCCTTAAAAAGTGCTTATGGTGCTCTTTTGAAAAGAATAGTGCAGTTACTATAGAATGCTTGCGTTTTCAGAAGGATGTAATCAAATTGTATCACTTTGTGAAAAGTTGATATCTTTTTGTCACAGTTTATCAGTGATAAATGAGTTTTATCAATACTTGGCTACATAAAGGCAAATCTTATATATAAAGCTGAATGTCTGTTTGCTTGTCTGTATGTCTGTCTGTCTATATGTAAGTATGTTCCTATTAGAAAATTTTATTTCTGAAGAGATCCGGACCAAACCACACTTTCCACTCCGGGGCCGGGCGGGTGGTTACTTTTCGTCATTTATCGACATCCATTCTATCGATTTGTTATCAATTTGTTGCAAAGTTTCAGCTACGGGGCTGAGAGTTTTCATAAGGAGACAATCGACCATGCTGATTACGAATTTGACAATAGTTTTTGGAATAGTACACTGCTTTTATAAATTTTATCGATTTTTTCTCGCAAGGTTTGAGCTACTATACCGGGAGGCACGGGAGGGTAGTTGAGCATGCTGATTACTAATACAGCGGGAAAAGGAAATTGGCATGTGAAGTGGGCACAGGCAAAGTTCTAAAGGATAGGTATGGAACCTTCATCGTGTTTTGACAGAGCCGGGCGGAGCCGCTCAGATAAGGCTGGGTTCATACTGAGCCGCACAAAAGCGGCACAGTTCCAGCACAGCGCTCGAACTGTGCTTGAAGCTGGAACTGTGCCGCTTTGTGCGGCTCAGTATGAACCCAGCCTAATCGCCTGGGGCAGGCGGACATGCCATTTTTGGGCAAGCGGAACCGGAAAAATAGTTCGCTGATTTCTTGCAGTCCGCTTGCAGATATTTGGAGGAATTTTGAACGAATGCTTGAAGAACAATTGCGGTTTCCTTGCAGATTAGCTGCGGCGCAGTGGCCGCATTCTCGCGGACTATCCGCGAGAATATGCAAAAGTTTCGGGTGTACGCCGAGCAAAGGTGAGACTCTACATGGCAATTTGATGTACTTTCTCTCAGCGAAAAGTACCTCAAACTTGAGTAATTAAACCATCGATGACTCCTCTGCCATGTAGAGTCTCACCTTTGCTCGGCGTACACCCGAAACTGCTTAAAAACCGTCCGAGCGCCAGCTAAAAATTTGACCAGCGCTCGCTGAAAGAGATTATTTGACGAGCGCCTGCAGAAAATTCTGTGTTGCTGCCCGCTGGCAGAACATTAGACAGTAAAGGAAGTGCCGCCCGCTGAAGGTTTGGCCACGCCCCAAAATTCTGCTGAGCGCCTGCAGAAAAACGCGAGTTTGCGGACCGCCTGCCCCCGGCGATTGTCTGAGCGGATAAGCAGCTGGTCTCTAACGAATTTGGTGTGGAGCTAGCAAATAGAATGGATGACGCTCTGCGAGTTTTTTTTCGGGAAATTCTCTGGTGTTTTGCCATATGTTTGCAGTGTCACTAGCCAATTTCTGTTGAATTATAGCAGAAGTAATCAAAGTGATGATTATAAGATGTCAGAAATCAACAGTGCGATAAAGTTTTGTACAAGTGTTTCAAATTTTAGCGCCCGATTGTGTCAAGTTCCTGCGCATAAGAGTAATGTGCAGTAATGAATGAATGGATAAGAACTCGGCTTTATGGGCAAACGATTGCGTGATCGAATCCTGCTATTTTAAGCATTTTTGCATCGCGTTGAAATCTGTGTCATTCGCATAGCCACAAACATTTTCAAATAAAGCACCGACGCTCATACACACCATATCAGCATTCAATGATGGAATGCAAATTTGGCGAACACATGAAGATTTTAACTCAAACTTCATTTTTTTCCCAATCAGGAATCTCTACTGCACCATGCGCCTCACTAGCGAGCGAAACCTATGAGTTTATCATAATATGTTTGATGTCACATATGACTAAATTGTGAAGCTTGTTTTTGAAATAGATTCAATTCAACTCGAACTTCCCTTTAAAAGGATTGTAAAAAATTATTCCATGCATTTCGGCGCTATGAAATCAGTCGCGATTGCGTAACTTCTAAATTTTAGCATTTATTCAAGAGCACCTGTAAGCTGGCTGGCAGTAATATGCTTAAAATTTTGATTTTGTATTAAGTCGTAACAAAATTAATGCAGGTTTTGTATTCCAACCGCAATAAGTCATACACTTCTGATTTCTAAGTAGGTTGCAAAACACCATTCGATAGAGCAAAGCAATCTCTATAAGGTGGCAATCTTGCTTTAAACAACTCTGATCCACCACGAGTTTCGAGCCAAAAACTAGGAAGATTCAACTGTCTGAAAAATTGAGAAAAATCGTAGCTCAGTTCATAAAAAACCTACAAAAATTCCAACTTGCTCACGTAAACATTATTCACACAAGACATCTATATACGCCTTTGCCGTATTTTTTTCTCTGTTAGAAATCAAGAAAACGGAAATTTTCGTGCATTTGCCAAAGCGGTGCTGTGCCGTTTCCACACAAGTAGTTGCATACTACAAACCTGTAGAATTATGAACGTAAATTTCCAGCTCTCTACAAGCTTTAGTTCTCGAAAAATATTGAATACAGTTTTTGCTAGTCATGTGGTCCAAGCTAAAGTTCAAATTTCACGAGAACTAAAGCTTGTAGAAAGCTGGGAATTTAAATTCCGTACTTCTACTGGTTAGTAGTATACAACTACTTAAGTGGAAACGGCACAGCTCCATTTTGGCAAATGCACGAAAATCTCCCTTTTCTTGATTTCTAACAGAGAAAAAAATACGGCAAAGGCGTATATAGATGTCTTATGTGAATAATGTTTAAGTGAGCAAGTTGGAATTTTTGTAGGTTTTTTATGAACTGAGCTATGATTTTTTTTCAATTTTTCAGACAGTTGAATCTTTTTAGTTTTTGGCTCGAAACTCGTGGTGGATCAGAGTTGTTTGAAGCAAGATTGCCACCTTGTAGAGCTTGCTTTGGTCTATCGAATGGTGTTTTGCAACCTACTTAGAAATGAGAAGTGTATGACTTATTGCGTTTGGAATTCAAAACCTGCATTAATTCTGTTACAACCTAATATATACTGGAGCAATTCATCACCTTAATATTAGACTGATGATGTTTCAATGCTGTTCCTTTTGAATCGATTCCAGGAGTTGTACCTGTCAACCACAAACATTTTTCAGACCAAAACTTTTGAAACTGATTTTGTGTGAAAGAGTTCATAAAGACCAAAAACGCCAGCATGTCTTTGAAACTCATTCTTTCCAAGCAACTGTAAGATATGTGGTTAATCGCAATGTATGTCTTTGATAGGCACCGATAGGGTCTATCGATTAATTGCCAGCGGTAGCCCTATCCATGTGCCACCAGTCAATGCTGATGAAATTCAGCAGAAGTCATCAAAACATGTCTAGGAGTTTCGCATCTCAACATTCCATCAATAGATTCACGTGACAAGAACGACAGTACAATGATGGATGATTAGATAAGATATCGGTCCGGGGGGATTTGGGGTCCTGTGAGCGCATGCGTTCGGGTTCAAGTTATGCTACTTGAACAAATTTTTGCACTTTTATAGAAAGAAGATGTTAATTAGCGTTCGCATAACCTGCTTCTTCAAGTCAGATAGAAATTTTGCAATAAATTCGTATTTATTTTTGAAATGCAAATTTGACAAGCGCATAAGGATTTGAACTCTTAAGTGTATCATCTACTAATCGCAACTTCTGCTATCACTTAATATGCAGGATTTGAAGACTATTGATCTCTCTGTGGTATACATCTTGATCCATGGTTTGTATTTAGCATTTGTTATCGTTTTGTTGTATGCGCAACTTTGCATGTTTGAAAAACTAGATACGACATGACGCACAATCAGCGTTTCCACAGAATCACAATTGCATTAAAGACAAAATTTGATATATATCAAATACTATACTGGAGAAATTAATGTTTACTAGATTATTTCACACCTCATTATGAAGCTAATTGATGCTGAGCGGCGATTTCTCTCATGCTGCCTATGATAACGTATTGCGGATATACAGGAAGATACCAGATTTTTAGCTTGTCTATGGTAAGCTATCTGCAGCAACATATCATAGGATCAAAAAGAAGTATTATGGTAGGATATCATAGAATACAGGAAGGAATACATAAATAGACACTGTAGCACAACTTCGTCGTGTAAGATGTTGCTTTTTAACTCACTCTTGTTTGTCCATCTTTCCATTTCTGAGCCTCAAACTGCTTTTATTGTTTTGCACGTGAAATCTGTATTCTTTTATAGTGCAACATTCACAATTTTCTCTCATTCAACTTAGGGAGTTTTGCGACTAATGTACTATATGACATACCTCCTTAGCTTCATTTGTACTCCCTTGTTAAACATAAACATCTATTGAGCCAATGATTAGCAGAAAAAAATTATCACCTTCATTCAAAAGTTTTCTTATGATAAAGAAAAAATAATAG